CGTTTTTCACTCCTCCGGCTCAGATAGAGGTTGGAAAGCTTGGCCATTCGGCCGAATGCCATGCATAAGGCAGGGCGATAGCCCACTCCACGGGTGGGAGGGAGGGCTGGAAATGACTGCAGGATTCAGGTAAAACATGCGAGTCATGTTTGACCCTCTCTGCTTCCGATCTGGCCTTCGTTTTTCACTCCTCCGGCTCAGATAAAGGTTGGAAAGCTTGGCCATTCGGCCGAATGCCATGCATAAGGCAGGGCGATAGCCCACTCCAACCATTCAGACCGGCCTACAGCGAAAAGTACAGCCTGGGGGCTTTGCAGCTAGTGCGCTGGTAGAAAACGAAGGAGAAAGGAAAGAATGGCAACTGCCGATTGTACTGCAAATCTGGCCTCCGAAGATAAACGAGGCAAGACTGATTCCGCTGACACTTCCTGAAGATAGAAGGCCAAGGTGCTTTGGTTCTACAGCCTCATAGACCACTGGATATCAGCTATAGCTCGACCCTCCCGGTATGCAGCGACTGCCCCTCCGCCTCGAAGAGACCCGGGAGTCAACTTGAAGCGGCGGGGAATGCTCAAAGCAGAAAGGATGTTGTCCCATCTGTTACGAAACATTGCAGGGCTGCCAGGGAAGAGCTTGTCCTTCCGGTGCAGCTGACCCCAAGTCGCTGATACAAGGTGAGCATACAGTTCGTCAAAAGTGACGGCGGCATGCTGAACTCTTGCACCTCTACCTCGCGTTTTAGGCTCTCGGAAGACGATGTAAAAACGCCGATCATCTCGAAGAAGGTCGCTCGGAGTAAGGAGGTCGCCTCTGAAAGCGGATAGGACCTCGCCTATTCGGCAGCATCCTCGAAAACAGAAAAGTGCAGCGCAAGCCCAGGCATACCAACCCCAGGCTAAGTACTGCGACCGAAATCATAGCAGTGATGATTGGTTCAGGCATAGGAACACGACAGGCAGGTCGAATGCAGTGGCGTACGCGGGGGAAGACGTGTTGTGCGTGAGCCAGCAGCTGACGAAACTCTTGCGAAGAAGCCCCATGGTCATAGAGAAACTGACCGTACCCTTTGAGCAGCTCGACCAGAAGCTCGGGACTCCTTTCAAGCGATCTCCAGCCAGCCTCGTTGACGCCTTCGTATATCCAGGCCTTGAAGCGAGCCCAAATTCCTGCCCGAACCCTAGCCGTAGTCGCCGCTACGACGGGAACGTCCTCCAGGCGCTGAGAGGCGCGATGATTCCTAGGCCTCCGTGGTCCTGGATTCGAAGCTTCGCCGATCCGAGCGCCAGAACATTTAGCACATCGGCTAAGATCGAGATCACGGTGTTCGCCGAGCCAGCCGACATCAGATGTACATGCAGCTGCGAGCATGTTGCAAAGACCCTTGGGATACGGCTCAGCAAGTTTTGTCCAGGAGACACCACTGTCGGGGTCGCGACCTCGAAGGACGCGATGAACATGAGCGCGAGGACAAAGAAGTCGTTTGCCGCGCAGCTGCCCATTAGTCCTAAAGCGGGTACTCTTCCGCCAAGGAGTGCCAAACACGCAAAAGTCGCAAATGAAGTCAAAGTCAGTGGCTCGAGCAAGCACCGAGCTCCACGCAGGCTGGCGCCAGAACCAACTGCTAGATGGATTCTCGATCCAGTAGATAGCGCCGACTTCTTCACATACGACGATGACTTCGAGAAGAAACTCCAGGAAGAGATTGCCCTTGATGACTTTCTCGGCTTGATCGAGCCTCAACCCCGGTTTCCCCTGGGGATAATCGCGACTCCTCCATGTAGGGACAATAGCACTCGAAAAGGAGGCGCAGACCGGAGCAGCGCTGACGCCAGCGAATGCTCCGTCTCGAAGCAGCTCGAAGATGGACCCTTGCAGATCTGGATCCAAAAGGTCCTCATCTTCTCCATGGCTGACATCCAGACAAAGTATCCAACATGGCGCGGCGGCAGCTAAAGCCTTGGCGAAACCCCTCACCCCTGAAAAAAGGTCAAGCCACCCCGAACCCGAGCTCAAAGCGGAGTCCAAATCAGGGAAAGCAGAGGAGTAGACAAACCTCCCAGGAGGCATGGCTCTGAGAGACTGGAAGACGGTGCTGGGCAAAGGGCTGGCCCGATCAGAAGCACATGGCTGAGAACGGCTCGAAGTGAAGGCAGGCTCAACACCAGGGGAGCCAACGCTGAAATGAAAGGGATCGATGCGCAAGGGGCAATGGGTCTGCTTGGCATGGCGCTTTCCTGTAGTAGAAACCTTGCCTCCGGGAGGTCGCACAGCTCGGGGAATCGGAGCCGGACAATCGCAAACCTTAGTCAACTCCTCGGAGCCTCCTGCAGGAGGAAGAACAAAGCCCAGCGAGAGAGCTTCGGCACGCTGGGAAGCTGAAAGTTTCTCTGTGCCTCGAACAGTGAACCCAATCAGCACGGTACGCGTGCCGCGCCATCCCATGGTACAATGCAGCCGTCTAGGGTCGAACAGCACTGGGTGGCTCGCGACATCCAGTACCTCACCCCGCTTGGCCTGACCCTTATGAAAAACCTCAACTGAACCCCCAGAAGTTCCGACCCACACGCCTCCCTGCCTGAATCTCGTGAGGCCGACTACCAAGTTTGGTTCGGAAGATAAGTTGTTCTGATCAACATGCGGCAAAGTTTTCACGTTCTGATTTACAGCGAGGGAGCTGAAGATGAATCCCGGTCTGAGACTCCTGAGCAAAGCCGTGAAGACCTGAACTGACGACGGAAATAGTTCACAGTTCTTTCGCAGCCCAACGACCCCACCATGGACAAAAATTCCGGCCGCAAAGGAAGTCTCGCCTCTCTTCAGTCCCGAGCTCCGACTCGAAACCTCCTTGGGCAATCGCCGAAAGATTTCGAGTGCATCTTCAGATGAGATGGCCTCTCGTCTCAGAAGTTGCCGCGCTCGCTTCTCGGGGTCGCGACTTACTCTAGCTTGACGAAGTTTAGCGGGAGGGGTCTCTGCAAGGGGCCCGTCGGGACTGAGCTCCCTAGCATCCGGAAGCCCCGCGAGTTGCTCAGGATGCAGCTCCTGCTCGTACAGGAAACTATCAAGGGGTGTAAAATCCCCTTCGATGGCAGAAGCAAGCCAATCCGACGGCTCGCGGCTGGGTTTCCGTAACTCACAGCTTCTCGTAGGATCATCTGAGGGGTTCCATTTGGATCTAATAAACCCGAAGGAGGGCCTAACCCGGGTAGAGAGGTAACATGGGAGTGAACGGCGGAGCTCAAAGTTGATGGCCCTCGATGACGATCGCCCCTTGACGAAGGTCGCAAGGCTGACCTGACTGTCTTGGAGGTGAACGTAACGGGAGCCGGGATAGCGTCTACCGATACCCTCTTCGCCTCGAATGGCGGCTCGCACCTCGCCTACATTGATATGCCGCCGCTTGGCGACCTTGACAATCTTCCCAAACTGCCGAAACTGCAAGGAGCAACAGACTTCCTCCCACAAAGGGTGAGAGGTGTAAGAATCTCCAGGAAGAGCTTGTCCTTCCTCAAGATCTCCTCTCTCCTGCAAGAAAGCCTGCGCTGGACTGAGCAGTCTGCTCCACAGTCCACGTTGCAAGCTATGCCGACTAAGCTCAACCGAAAGCTCAGCTGGGATCTCGGCCACGGCTCCGGCCTCGGCGGTAGACGAAGCGTCAGTAGTTAGCACCAACGCAGCACCGGGAGCTCGGATGTCGACGTCGACCTGGCAGAGGAGCACTGTAGCCGCCAAGAGTTCGTTGCAAAGGTCCCCCCGCACGCGAAGGAACGCGTTGCGAGGACGATGCTGCTGCGCCGCATAAACCTCGTCAAGCAGTGAGAGAAGCCTCCTTCGCAGCTGCAAACTTGAGACAAGGCTACCGGTGATCACCTCTAGCATGCCAACTGACGTCACTCCACCGCGGACAACCTCAAGGAGGAAGGCAGCAAGCCCACTGACCCGTTTAGGACTCGGCCGCAGGAGACCTGTTTTCCCGTCGAGCTGGCCACCCCAGAAATCACCGACACTGGCCCGAGAGACCGATTTGCCTTCATGGCGAGGGAGCCCGCTAGCTCGGTAGCCATCGACTACTTCCCGCATGATCCTGACTCCCCGGGGCTCATACTCCAGACTAGGAGGGACCTTAGGCACCGGATCCAGAAGCACGAAGTCATCGATCAACAATCCTGCGACGATGCATCCTGATCGAGGTGGCCGTCCTTGCAAAGACAGGAAGTCGGAGAGACGCAGGGAAGTATAGCACCGAAAGATGGGATGTTTGGCCGTAAGCGACGGCGTTCGTGTCGCCCATTGCCATGGTTCCCAAGGCTGGGATTATGATTTGATTCCTCATCGCCTTGGAACAGACCGACAGATGCGCTACATCTTCAGAAGAGAGCTCCAGCGCTAAAGAATTTCGTGCACTTCGAATGGACGAGACAATGAAGCTGTGATAAAATTCTTTAAGATCTTCGGCGTGAATCTCACGATTGCAATCCTCCGGAAGATGCATGAACTGGATTTGCTCAAGGGTGCCCAAAGACCTAATCCACCTAGACTCGCTGCACTCAAGGGCGTTTGGAGGACGTGCGTCAAGCACAAACCTATCCCGCTTGCCGTCTTTTGGCACCGAGAACAGTCCGCTCCTGACACCAGGCCTTACATCGCCCTTAGTGAAAAGAGCCAGCCGGCCTGAGGAATCAAGGAGCTCCAGAAGCCGCCTCACCTGATCCTTGCTCGCCCGGACGGCGACATGAGGGAGCTGAACCTCCTCAGTTAGGGGCTCAGCAAATCGGATAGGGTCCTCGTAGGTTCGTCGGTTGGCGGTATCAAGATACGGACGAGGGTCGAAGCTTGGACGACCGACGAAGTTCAGTCGGTCAGGCTCTACGGGAAGCGCATGACATGGGGCACTGAAGCTGAAAGCAGCCTCCTCCAAAGCAGCTCCTGCAGGCAGCTTACTGTACTCCTCCTGACAGGCATGGAGCATGTCGTACAGACTCTCAAACTTCGGCGCGCCGCGCCCAAGCTCCTCGGGTCCGAAAGGTCCAGAGCGGTTCCAGTCCTCAACTCCTCGTCGCAAAGAGCTCAAGGCTTTGAACTGAACCTTGGTCAGCGGCTCTCCGAGACCCATGCGATGACCTCGAGAAATCAAGGGGGGCCAAGGAACAGCCAGTCCAGAACGAGGATTACAGCATTGAGCCCCAGCTCGACAGGATCACGGACCTTAGGGGAACCAGGCCTTAGCAGCTTGGGAAAAGGTAAGGGCATCGGCCATATACCTGACCAGACGATTTGCAGCTCGATTGCTGATGATGCCCCTGCTCTCCGCAAGGTAACAGCCGGATGGAGTGAAAAAACGAAGAAAGAGAGCAATCAGATCTGCTCAAGGTCTCAAAGAATCTAGACCACAGGTCACTGGGAAAAACTCGGGGTGCTCGCGAACCTGGAGAAATGGCTTCTTTGGGCTGACCCCCGGAAAGAACTTTAGTCCCCTCACTGAGCAAAGAACCCCGGCTCACACCAGAGATAGCTTGCTCCGAACCAAGACGAACGTCACCCACTGTGCCGCGCACGCTTTCGCAGCCTCTAAAGCTCGGCGCGTCAGTCCCACGCTGGCTCTCATGTCCTGCTTCTGGAAGGCGCGTTTGGGAGTCGTCGGCTCGGTCCTGGAATGAAATCCCGCTCGAGGTTCCGGCCTCAAGCTCACCACCTTTAAACACCAAAGATGGCCCAGCCTCCTGATCAGAAGGAGACAGGCCTGGGGGTCCGTAAAACTCCTCCTGCGGAAGACCCGAAAAAACAAAAGAGGAATCTCCAGCGGCTGGCGCCGCCTCCTCGTCCGATTCGTCCAGCGGATCCGCCACCCGCTGAGGTGCTGCCTTGGCCCGTCCGCCGAGCCGGCCGCGCCCCGCGGAAGCCATCTGGGACATCTTGGCGAGCTGACTTTCTGGAATCCCCGCAGCGCGAGCAGCATCTACCACTCCTGGATCTAGGCCAGCTAAGCGAGGCGGTCTTGTCAACCCCGGAGGAGCACCTGGAAAAGTCCCAACCCCGGCGGCCGTCGCAGGCACGGGGGGAGGCTCTGCCGGCTCCTCGCGAGACAAAGGGACTCCATCCACCAAAGTCTGCATGCTCGTCTGAAGTTGTCGCGAAGCCTCTGCTCCAATCCCTGGTCCCCGGCACCATCTTGAGTCTCGCTGCCACCTTCCTCGGCTAGGTCCTCCACAGCCGTGAGGAATGGCAGCTCGCCCTCGAGGGCGAAGTCCACGGAATCCTCGAGGCTGGGTTGAAGCATGCCTAGCCAGGCCAGACCTTCATCCGCCAAGTGCGGTGTGGCTCGGAGGGGTCCTCTTCTGAAGATGCAAGCACCTCGGCCAGAACCGTCCGAGCGAGAGATTCTCGAGGCAGGTACCTGCGTCCTGCTACTCTGTGCCATGCTCCTTGTGGCACAGCGACCAAGAACTGCCCTTCGAACTCCCCAACTACGACAATCTGACAAGAGACCTCCGGACCCTCGGAAGAAGAAATACGCAACTCCCCAATCTGAGCCTCTCGACCTTCCAAAATGTAATCCCGGAGCCTCTGGAAGGCAGGAGTGCTAACCGGGATAGCGGCTCCCTCAAGCGTAGGCAGACTGGCCAACTCAGACCAGCAGCTCGGAGAGCTGCTGCAACCTCAGTCTGGCTCGGTAAGCCCACAAAGATGCTTTGCCCCTTATCAGGGACTCGGATGCACAAAGCCTTGGCCTTGGAGAAAGTCGAAAAGACACAAGGCTCAGCAAATTGCCGGCCCTCAAAATCAGCAAGAACTATGTAGTAACGGGAAGCTACACTCAACTGATCCCGTCCAGAAGAGCCTCGGTAGGCCCCGTCTAATGCTCGGCGCAAGAAGCGCCCCACGCTCTCAGCCACCTCAGTACGGAAGGCGGAGTTGGGTCCGCCGGGACGAGTAGAGCAAGACCCGTCAGGGGTAGAGGATGGAATGGAAGCGGAAGCCTGGGAGAGCTGCACTCCTCCTGAACCAGGCGAAGGGGAAGAAGATGGCTCACCGGGCCGAGGATGCGATGGAGTATCTGAGGCACCCCGGGAGAGATTAACTCCACCTGATCCGGGGAACTCAGAAGGGGGAGCAAGAGCCTCGTGGTACACAACCTCAAACCTATCTTCCTCTTCCAGGGCAGATACTCGGGCCTCGAGCCTTTCTAGCCAAACTCGGACAGCAGTGATTTCCTGGCGAAGCGTTCGGAGCTCAGAACCCCTGTCACTCATTCAAGGAGGCGATAAAGCCCAGAAGGTGGGAGGCCGAAAGCCCGCCGAAGTGACCCTGATACAAGCAGCCGGGCCAACAAAGCCAAGTCCAACAAAGGCCAAATGAGGACTCCCACAAAGATCCCTAGCAGGAAGGAAGTCCAATCGAGATGTATCGCAAGCGAGGACCCTGAAGAGGTTTCTCCCGAAATGACAGGGAAGAGCTCAGGTTCAGGCGGGATCCTAACGACAGAGTCAGAAAAGAAAACCTCCCTGGCAACCTGAACACAAAGTCCAACAAGCCCCCCAGAGGCCCCGCCAGCTACAATCGGTAGTGGTCTCATCCACCGCTGGAAATG